GCGAGACAGGGGCGTCTGCATAAGGAAGAGAAGTCCGCACGGGATTATGGCGTCGTAGCCGAGGTGCTCCTATACGCTTTCCGATGTGGGCGATAGGTCCGTAAACATTCTTCCAGCCACCAACGCAGCGTAGACTGCATGCTCTATTATTCCACTAAGCAGAAAGAACATTTCGGTCTCTGACCGCTCATGTGGCTGTTGCAAGAAATGAACACTGTATGGTTTGCCTTTGTGAGAACTCATATACTAGCAAGATTCAATCAGTCAAGACAGAGGAAAGCAAACGAAATTCCAAGCAACCAAAAATCTGGATAGGCTTCCTCACTTACGTTTAGTACTTGCTGAAGAATGACCGACCTAGGGAACCGAATGATGGATTTCCAAGAGGTGTCCCTATTCCGAGTCAGCCGTAATTGGATTACCGCTCACCACGCCTATGTTATTCCTAGAAGATTTATAAGCACAAAATCACATTCCCAAAGATTTACAATCACAAAACACATAGGCAAAACAACACACACGCAGGAAAACACCAAGGGCAGCACGAGTCTCTAGAAGTATGTACGTCAACAGAAAACCCCATGTATATTTCACATCTTTGATTTGAAGGAGGCTAATTCTTGCGCTAACAGATGCGAAACAGCTCGACTTTCTAATAACTGCATTCGCACATTCTGTGGAGTAATTACAGATAAATGTTATTGCCGCTACGGAAATGCGTGCATAACAATCGTCAGCCAAAATAACGACTTTTCAAAACTATTGTTGAGACAGTAGGATGAAATGGAAAGGAACAAAGTCCCCCGATTTTTTGTTCCGGGTGACGCGAGAGACCATAACCTGCTAGACTGGACTCAAGCTTGCCTATCTGGATCTTTTTCCAAAAGTCAGCAGAGCTTCTGTGAAGAAGGCAAGACTTCTGATTCAAGACACACAAACATGGGGGAATCCTGTGTTTTTAATGAGATTTTAGAGCGATGCCGCTTGTACTCGTATAACACCATGACCACCGACCACCAAGGCGTTCTTTATTACTGCGAAAATTAGGTAAAATCTGCTGGAAGTCCGTCCCAGATATTATTGAGTTTCCTGAATTATCGATATGACATTCGCTTTTGGCCCTGGCGCCACATGGCGTCAGCATGCGCCATTTTGGCGGAGGGTAATTCAAAAGGTTCAACTTGCTTTGGAAACCATTTTACGAAGCATTAAGCGCGATCCTTTTTCTCTCCTGAGCTATCACCTCGACGGGAACAGAAATACTCGAATGGGATCTCGCGCTTTCGCACCAAAATTAACGATAAAAACTGCGCACATTGAACATGTCAGGGACCACCACACCAATAATGTAGGATCCAGGCAAAACCAAAAATAGTACTAGGAGCTATGAGCTTCCATCTTTCTAACAGCTACAGAATCTTTCGCAAAGGTCGACTACTCACATTAGAATCAATTGGACGACGACGGACGTGCGACTTGTCGCCTTTTGAAAGTTCATAATTTCGTCCATACTTTAAAGGATAAAAGCATGAATTCTTCGCGGTAGACCAATCCCTTCGCGGGAAGTGGCACGCATTCTACTTCCATTCAGAATCGTAGTGGCTTACTGAATGCGAAGGGGAGTGTGACTTGCGGGACCAGCCGATGTACAATTCGGTGTGTTACCCTCTCAGACGAATCTGGAATAAAGGCTTGGTCAGCCTGGACGGGAGTCGTTATGGAACTCGTTCCAGGTCCGCGCGAGCGGTAAACACGGCACTGGTCACTACACCTCCTCCGTCCACACATTACTCTGAAGAATAGGTAAAAACTAGTGGGATTCACAGGATTCGTGCTTTCAATGGAACTGAAAGCACGAATCCTGTGAATTGAATCTCATTACGATTTAAATTTCGCCTGAAAAGTATGTAGCATGACAAGCATCCTCTCTAAGTTGGGTGCTCTCATTGTATTCTCATTATGCAGCGTTCAGACATTGCGATGACGCGCATGGACGCGCTGTAATGCGCTGTTCCGTCTGCGCGGCGCTTGTCTATCGCGCCGGCCTCGTGCTTCAAGAAAGTAGGGGTAGGAGTTTTCTAGCCAAGTAGAATGATTTCGATCAGGGCTGGTCGTCTGTGGCTGTGTTCGCGTCAACTAGAATTTAGTGGCGTGTGACGGCGCCTTTTATCAAGCGAGGTCGTTCAGGGCGTGGTGAGCTTTTTTCAAAATGGTCTTGGATATTGGTAGGACACAATTCGAGACTCAAAAACTGAGTTCATTCTTTCGCTGCGCCCGCTGTCTACGGAATCAAAAAAAAACACTAAACAAATAGGTGATGGTTCGGATCCCCGAGACAAAATTTTGCTTTTCTACAGTTTTTCATTTTTTGGATCCATGTTGTCTAAATAATTGGTCCTAACAAAAACATTCACGATAAACTGAACAATCCTACTTTTATGGAGCAAAACTGCTTTTTCGTTCGAATTCGTTTGTATGCACAGACTCAGCTCTTCGGCGCTATGCCGGTGCCAGATGGCACTGGAACCGAAAATAAAGTCTAGAATCGTGATCAGGACTGTCGATTACCCCTAGGAGCAAGTTTTGAGCGAAAAAATTTTTTTGACTTTTTCGGGTTGTAGGTGACCATTTGGTCGGCAGTGTGAGCGGAGTCTCACATCTTCGTAACAGCGATGCGTATCGTTGACGCTACGGACCCCGGACAACCCAATAAGCAAACCCAGAAAGGTCAAAACAATTGTTTCGACCGAAAATTCGTTTTTAGTGGTAATCAGTGGCCCTGATCACAAATATAACACCTATTTTGCATCCACGCAATTTGGCGACAGAATAGCGGTGAACGTTCCCTATATTGGTGTACATAACGAATTCAGTGGAAAGAAGATGTGGCCCCAAATTGTCTATAATTGACACCACACCAGAAGTTACTGAATTCGCAATCAGATCCACTGTATAGCCTATGGAGGCAGATTATCATATAAAACAGCTTCAAAAACATCTAAAGCCTTAGGCCTCGCGGTTTCATGCCGATATCCCATCGATTACGGCTGACCGGCTCACCAAGTTAAACGTGTGAGTGCTGATAGGCTACGGCATAAAGCCGTTAAGCTGAGAGGGTAAAAGCGGCCCTGGTGGCGTAACGGATAGCGCACTCGCCCGGAAAGCGTGAGGTGCGGGTTCGACTCCCGCCTGGGGCACGACTTTTGCCCACAACTCAGCATTCTTGTGATAACATTCGGAACGCGTACTGCGGCGTTAAACAGCAGTTATCATATGAGGATCAACGTCCATCAACAATCTTGTTCAATGGTGCGTGAAAATCGAAGTGGCTGAATAGCACTGACTCATGAGGTATAGCTACTCCAAATGTGCCATAAATGGGCCGAATATGCGAGGGTTATATCGTATGCCGCAGCACTAATATGAACGCGAGAATAGCGAACCTGTAAAACGAAAAATGCAAAAAGCCGCGACGCGAGGGGAGCCGAACCATCAACCCCACCCTCACTGTCCGATTGCGAAACCTCCACTCTATCCGCTAGGCCATCCGATGCTCGACCGTGCTAGCGCTCTTATCGTTGATGAAACCACTGCAAGAAGCCGTTCACCCTTGAGCACGTGATCCAAGTTGGAAGCTCACTTGCGGCGATTTTTCGCTTCGATTCAAATAGCCCCTTTATAAGGACCCCCACTCCAGGTCAAGCTGCAGTCTCAACTTGGCAAGCTCGAGCTACGCCCCGCATAGAGGCCAGTACGACGAGAGGTCTAGATTCAAGATCTTCTTTTCACATCCGCTTTTTACGTCTTTCGCCTGCGTCGCAGCCGGAAATGAAGCAACACTTCTCGATGTCCGTTTCGCATGCCCACAAGTATGCCGAGAACAAACGCCGTTGTTTCGGAAAGAGCGCACTCACGCTGCCTGAACGACTCGCCTTGTTAGAGCAAATTTGCCAGCGCTTATCTGAAGCTCAGCTACCGCGAACACCGCTACTCGCCTTAGCTCCGCCTTTTTACCTTCTGGTCTCGCGACGCCACATATTAAAGGGTTTCTTGTTGCACCTAGTGCAATCGGGCGACTTCAAAGACGACCGCTCCCAGCCTTTCCAGCGATACGGATACGACCCTCGTTGGAGGCTCCTCAACGATGTTTGACCCTGATAGCAGAGTGGTTAAGCAAGGCCGCGATCAATACAGTGAGTAATGTTGCTCAAATTGGAATGCGAAGATGCACCGAAAATCGATTATGGAGGGAAGAGCAGAAACAATTGTTATCGTCAATGGCTCCATATAAAAGCATTGACGTCCGGATTTGTACGCCTATATTTTTTTGGGGATTTTCTGCTAGTGTGGCTGAGTAGAAGCAGTAGATGGCCGGTGCTGAAGAAGACAGGCCGCACTATTGAGAGGAACGATGGCATCGCCGAATTTCTCAATCGCTTTTAAGCCTGAAAATGGCGCCGTCGCTACCTTTGCGGACCAGTCCATCTGCTCACGAAAGAAGAGAAAAAAGACACTGACTTTTGGAGGCTCGTGTGTCGCCCTCGTGGGACACGCGCTCAATTCCTGCGAGCCAGAAGCCGTGAACTGCAAAAAAAAGTTGGATAATGACGTCAGGCTCAGGTGGCTAGCTGACTGATGAACAACACGGTCACTCCATACAAGTGGTAAGAGTTACCTAGCCCAGTTATTGAGGTGAGCTTGTCAGAGCTGCCGAAGGGTGATTCATCTTGGCATATGGGAAACTCATTAAGAGCATACAATACTCTTAAGCTACAGTACATTCAAGAACACGTTATTCAATAAATATTGAATAAATGATTTGGTTCATGAGGCTTAGCATAATTTCCTGTTTTCCACTACAACTTTCGACGGAGTAGCTGATGTTTGAATTTATTTTCCCCTGTGCACAATTTTGTTGTGTAAAAATTAAAAATAATAAAAAATTCTGAGACTTTTCTAAAAGTAAAGCTAAATTGTGGTAAAGTTTCTTCTTCAGACACTCATTTACAGCAATAGACATATACATTAATTGGTTTGAATTTGGTCTGCATTTTCCAGTAGGTCACACAGTACTGACACGAAAGATTGGCGTTTCCCATTGTCGATATTTGATCGAGTCGCTGTAATAAAAAACTAATAGAACAACTCAAAAAATGGAAAATAAATGATGAGTTAACTTTCTCTACATAGGTAAAAAAAATGTGGGCGGGTATGGACTAGTGGCAAATGGCACGCTCCTCCGCAGCGGAGGAGGGAAAAACTCACCCATGCGCGTATGCGGCGCGGTTTCTTCACGGCGCCGCGGCGGCAGGGCGGAGCGAAAGGCGATGGCCCGCGTCTCCGGCGCTGTGCTCCAATCCAGCAGCCTCTTTTATGTGGAAGGAAGAGGAGGGAAAAGTAGAGAGAGGAAGGGAATTGAACAGATAGTGGGTAGATATGTGAGTTAGTGGTAGTGGTAGGAGATCACAAAAGTCGACTACGAATTACTTCAGTGAATGGCAGAACTGGCGGCATAGTTCCCTTCGATTGTGAAAACGACGCAAGCAGCTTTTACACGAAAGTTCAAGCTGAGGTTTGGCAAATTGCCAACAGTTGGTTGTGACCTTATAACGCTATAACGTCACGTCCCATTCGAAGGGATCATTCTGCCAGTTCCGCTGTTGACTGAAATAATACGCTCTGATTCTCGACTTTTCTGTATTCTCTGCTCACCATTACCACTAACTCCCTATGAGCGTTCACTATTTGTTCAATCCTCTTTTCTCTCCTCCTCCTTCCACATAATGGGGCATAAAAGGGGCTTCTGATTGAAGCACAGTGGCGGAGGCGCAAGCGATCACCCTTCGCCCGCCCGTCGCCGCGGTGCCGTGAAGAAACCGCGCCGCATACGCGCACGGGTGAGTTTGTACATGGAGCCCCGTACATGGAGTGAGGCGACTAACTCACCCTAATTGCCCATACGTCCGCAGATTGTGGTGGTAGCGATTGATCTAAAACATTAGAACCTTTCTCCTGAATCAATTTCGTAAACTTACCCCCATTTCAATTCGTCCTCTCATTGCGTTACATAGGTCGAAGTGACCCCCTTCAATGAGACCTACACTGACTGATCTGTCTTTGGGTAGTGATTACGAATCCGTTTTCTATATACACTCGTGCCCCCTCAAACGATAGGGCGTGTGACGGGCTCGGATTGAGGCTGTCCAAGCGCCCTTTTCCTACAGTGATGCTTTGGCAGCACTCCAGTGCACGCCCTTCACACGTCCTATCGTTTGCAGGGATCATGGCTGTATTTCTGCTGCAGAACTCTCTAAAGGAAGTTACAGAGGTTCCTCAAAAGGAGCACACTATCACCTTCCCCGTACGAATTTCGGAGAGATTCACAGTAGTAGAGATACGTATT